TACAGGGGGGGTGCTTGAGAGAAGCCGCAGGTGTTGGTTGCTGCTGGAGCTCTGAGTGGTGGCCCCAGCATCTCTGTCCCACCTGTGGTATTAAAGCAGAAGGATGAAATGTGTTTAAGCAAGTTGCCCAGGGAAGTTGTAGCCGCCTCATTCCTGGCAGTGTTCAAGGTTGGATGGGGCTTGGAGCAACCTGGTCTGGTGGGAGGTGTCCCTGCCCATGCAGGGGGTTGGTACTAAGTAATCTTTAAGGTCCCTTCCAACACAAACTAGTTTGGGATTCTGTGATTCTATGAATGCTCAGTCCTGGCGTGGTGGAGGAGGGCTGCTCTCCAACCTGTCTCCATTGTTTGTAGGACTACCTAATGCCCTATGGGTGTGCAATTAAAGACTACCCCAGTGGCCTCTGCCAGCTGCCCTCTGCTCACTACAAGCCCTACCTTAGGTCGACAGCAGTAAGTCCGAGCGCACGCAATGTTTCCCTTGGGATTTACGGGCAGTTGGCCCTTTTTGCCTGGTGACCCCATGTGCCTTGCCCAGGGCCCTGTCTTCTGCTGAGCATCTCTCCTGGGGAGGAGGAACAGGGAATGCAGGGAGGTGATGGGACAGGAGAGCAGCAGGTGGGGAAGACAGGCCAATTTGGCTCACCTGGGCAGGATGGGCAAGGCACAGGGAATGAATGGCACAAAACGGCACCGTAAACCCCCAAAGGACAACACTTGCCGGCTCCATGGGAGCCTCCCACCAGAAACGAGCTGCTCACAGGCAGCTGGGAGTGTTTTCTCTGGCATAGGCCAATTCAAGCCAATGATGGTCCCATGGGGGCACTGGGGTGAGCGTGTGGGGCTGGGAGAGATCTTGTCCAGGGCTCTGGAGGTTGTCCAAAACGAGCCCAGGGCTTCACGGATAACACATTAAGACGGATGAATGTGTGGGTGAGATCAGCTTAATCCAGAAGCTGCTGGCATGGGGGGCTTCCCCACCGGACTGAGTGGTGGGATGAGCCGTGTTGGCTTCCCTGGAGTGCTTGGCAGGTGAGGAGAGGACAAGGAGGTGGAGAGGTGCCCATGCAGCACCTGACCCTCCGGCTGGGCCTTGGTCCTCTCTGCAGGGACTGGGACAGATGCTGCCTGCTGGATTTTCCCAGCAAGATTTGCTGCTGGATTTGGGGGTTTGTGGTTGGGAACAATCCTGGAACAGTAGGGATGTAGGTCTCTGATCCCTGGTGCATGGAGAGCCCAAAGACCAGTGATTCCTACTCCTTCCTGGAGCTGTGTTTGTCGTGGAGAGCAGAGCTTATCCATGGCATTATTCCAGGGCAGGTCCTCACCTGGGGAGCAATGTCCTTGAGGAACATCCCCCGAGCCCAATCCCCATCTGCTCCTTAGATCAGGGCAGCCTTCCCTGCTGTGAAGACCACTCAGTACTGGCTGAAGGAGAAAATGGTCCAAAACCCTGTGGGTTTCTGGTGGGAGTTCACACAAACACCTCTTCCCTCAAAACATTTCACTGGTGTCTCTCAAACTTGTCTGACACTTAAAAGTGTCTCACATCTGGAACGTGGCTGGAGCTCCATACCATGGTGGAGCCAGGCAGACAGGGGCTCTCCTGGCTGTTCCTTTCCCTTGTCTTGCCGGAATAAAGTCCTGCTCCCAAGGGAGTGGTGCAACTTTACTCTCTGCTGTCTAAATCCCATTTAAACCATCTCCGTGTCTCTCTCCAAGTGCATTGACTCTTGGCTCCAGCATTCCTGAGTCCTGATGCACTTTATTCTGTCCGTGTCAGCCCCGGTGGCCCCTGAGTGGGTACAGCCCATGTCCCCCCACCTCACTGTGCTTCCTCCCCTCCTCTCTGCAGGGTCTCGATGACTACGGGACAAGGTCCGTCAGCAGGTAAGACTGAACCTTCCTATTGCGTTACCTGAACTGGTGGTGGTGGCTCTGGGTGAAGCCGTGGTGTCATGTCCCCGTGGAGGTCCCTGCGTGGGCTCCCCAGGGGACTGGCAGTGGCTGGGATGGGGCCGTGAGGTGCAGGATGTGGTGTGGGTCTTGTCTGTGAGCGTGGAGGGTCCCGGCAGGTCCTGGGGACAGCGCCCGTGTCCCTGACCTCGCAGCCCTTGTGCTCTTCTGAAGAGAGACGTGTCTCCCCAACCTCCTCTGGGCTTGTGCCTGGGTAGAGAGGCCCGGGGGGGAGCACATGCGCTTGGGGGCTTTCCTGGCACCATTCCCACCTGGCAGCTCCTCCATCCCTATTCCCTCTGTCTCAGAGCACTCTTGCTCCTGGGGACAAACCCCAACCCCCTGGCATGAGCTGAAGAGTAACGGGCAGCGGTTGAGCTTGCTGCCAGGAAGCTGGGATCCCAGGGAGCTGGGAAGCTGGGCTCCTGGGAATCTGGGCTCCTGGCATGGTGCTGCCCCGTGGTGGTCCCGGCCACTCTGGCAAGTCTCCTGTGCTTTGTTCCGCAGCGGCAGTGGCAGTTTGGTATCAACGGTGTGAGGACACCTTGGCTCGCGTCGGGGCCTTGCTGCTTGGAAGAGCTTTCTGCTTCTTTCCTCCCTTTTTTTTTTTTTTTCTTTCCCCTTCGTTTCTCTTTCTCGACTTCTTTTTGGATTTTAAACTCTTGTGATCTTCAAGGAAACCATGGTGCTTCTCCACCCCTCCCTGGTGTTCACAGTGCCCTTGTTTCTGAAGCCTTTTCAGAGCAGAAACTGCCGACCGGTCTGTGCTCGCTTTGAAGCAGCCTGGATGCAGTTGACACTTTAGTGGGACCCAGTTTTTGTACTCCCGTGTGAATGCTAGCGATGCACTATCCCTCCTTGGGGGCTGCACGAGCCTGGACAAAACCTCCCAGACTGGATCAAATATGCATGGCCTCTGGTGTCTGTACTGTTACCGAGCATCCGGGGTGCCCGGGATGCTGTTCCTCAGCCTCATCCGCTTCCATCCACCTGCCTGCCATGGTGGCTTTGGGAGAAGCGGATAGTGCAGAGCTCCCGCCCCAGGGAAAGGGCTCTGGGGTCCCGCCAGCCGTGGGGTGCAGCTGCCAGCCCCCCTGGAAGGGTCACTCCTGCTTGTTTTATAAATATATATATATTTTTTGTAGCAAGGTATTGTTACCTCACCTTAGCGCGGGGGGCTGGTGCGGAGCTGTCCAAGGACGCGCTCGCATCCCAGACCTGGGCTTCAGCCCCTTCCCTACTGTGCCGGGGGCTCAGCAGCACCCGGGGGTCTCCCCCCTGCCCAGTGCAGGGTCTGTGCTCGGGGTCCCGCTCCCCCAGCCCAGCCCTTGTCCTCCCAGTGCCCGTGGCCGTCTCCACCGCAGAGCTCTACACGCTTTCTTTTTCTGATGTGATTTTTAAAACCTCTGATGTTGCCTGTTTACTAGGACATTGCTGGCAATACAGACACACACATGGACAAGGTTTTGTTTTATACACTCGCCTACGGGCACATTGTACCAAGACCCTCCTGCATCGATGTCCTGATTTTGCTAAAGATTTTTAACCCCGGATGCTTCATGCTGAATGACTGAACGTAGAGGGGAGGGGGTGAGAAGAACCTCCCAGCCTAGCAAAGCCTGTGTAGAGATTGTAAAGTGCTGGGGAAAAAAAACGAAACACCTTTTTTTTAAAAGCCAGAGAGAATTGTGCCCTGTACTGAGTTATTGTTTGAATAAAAGTTTTATTTATTGCATTGAGCTGGGCCTCGGTGTCTTTGTCTGCTGCTGTGCTGCCTGTCACCGCCTGCACTGCCCGTGGCCCTGCTCTTGGATTTTTGGTTTGGTTTTGATTTTTTTGCCCTGTCTCCATCCCCTTGGCACCAGGAAGCTGTGGGAGACCCCGGGTGCAGCCTTTAAACAGCTTTGCTGAGCAGGAGCAACTCAAACTGTTTAAGGGCCGGGTGTGTGTCCCGGGGCTGCTCCAGGCTGCGCTTTCCCAGCGCTGGGAAAGCAGCGATGGCTGGGAGAGGGGAAAGGAAGCTGCCCCCTCCCTTCCTCCGCTGCTCTCCCCAGGTGGCTCCTGCCTGGCCATGCCCTTCCTTCCCCTCCTTGCAGGGAGCCGGCGGGCAGCACCAGCAACTCCATAAACATGACTTTTCCTCCTTTTTTTCCTCTTTTTTCCTCCTGCTTCCTCTGCCTGCACTGTGCCCGGCGGCCCCTCTCCGGCTCGTAGCCCGGTTCCTCTCCGTAACCACCACCTTTTGTTCCCGTCCCAGTGTCCTCCAACCTGCCTTCTCTTCCCCTTGCAGCCCCGATGTTGAAGTGGCCAGGTTTTGAGGTGCCCCTGCCCGTAGTTAGTAAGTTGACGGTCTCGGGGGGCCGAGGCCCTGGGTGTGCTGGCGTTGGGTGACGGCCGCGGGGCTGCGCGGGGACGGTGCCACCGCTCTGCTTCCACCCCTGCACCCGGACACCTGCCTGTGCTCTGCCTTGGCCACCGCTTGTCCCCATCCTGGTGGTGGGAGCTCCGGGTCCAGCTGCGCTGCCGCTGCACGGCTCCTCGCTCCGCCGCCGCGCCAGGGCTGTGCTTCTCAGGATGCTGAGCTGCTCCTCCTGCTCCACCGCGTCCCCCACTCCCCGTAACCACCTCCTTTGGTTGTAGGTCTCCGGTCTCTGCCGTCCCACCGGCGCCCGGGCGCTGCATCGCCCTGCCCAGCTCTCCCGTGGGCACGGGGAGGTGACCCACACTAACGTCAAGTTTTTTCGAGCAGCTTCTTTTGGTTGTAGACTGCCCTGGGGACATGTGTCAGGAGCCTCCTTGTTCCAACCCCAGCCATGGCCCCAGGGTCAGAGTTTCCTCAGGAGCCAGGACCCCCCTCGCTGGCATTGCAGAGCCCTGGAGAGCCCTTTCCCTGTTTCTCTTTGATCCGTGAGCTGGTTTATCCTGTGGCTGCCAGAGCTGTGGGCTCCTGTCCCCGTGGCTCTTCTCTGCCAGAACAAAAACCAGTTAAATAATAACCCCCTGGGTGACTCATCAAAGCAACCTTTCCTCTCCCTCCAGTCCTCAGAATCCTGGGAGGGGGAAGTGATCCAAGGATATGCATTAATTAGGTGGGAAATTAATTACCCTATTTTTAAGCAAAAGCCATTTATCTTTTGAGGAAAGGAAAATTGCACTGAGAGAAGTGAGGGCTACCAGGGGAGAGGGGCTGGGGGTCTGATCCTCTTCCTCCTGTCCCATGAGAGGTGGCTGGAAAGGGCTGGGAAACAGATCTGCCATGGCCTGCCCATGGACCCAGTGTGTGGTGCTGTGGCAGTGCCAGGAGCTGAGTGGGGTTGTAGCCTCGATGGCAGAGAGGAGAGGGTTGGTTCAGCTCCCTGGGGAGGGCCAAGACAGAGACTGGGCTGGGGACAGCCAGGAAGGGGGTCTGTGGGGTGCAGGGGGGGCTCTCCAGGGTGTTGTGCAGTTCTGTGGCTCCCTTGGCCGCTGCTCCCAGTACGTTTGGACATGGCTGCACCCTCTGGGATTTACCTGTCCTGCCAGAAGGGCACAGAGGGACCCTCTCCGGGGCAGGTAAGGGTGCTCCTCATGTCACAGCACCCTTGTTCCCCGTTCTGGCTGCAGAACACCTGTGTGCTGGGGCTGTGTGTCTGCAGACCAGTGTGCTGCAGCCAGAATGGGGGTGTCCCTGGTGGGGAACCCCCAGCTCAGCCCGGCTGCTCCCCCCCGGCTGCGGATGCTGTGGATCCTGGGGTGGCCAATGCCAGGAGCCAGGCTGGATTCAGCCCCGTGGCCCTGTGCAGCCAGCCCATCCAGGAGCCTTTCATCTCTCTGTGTTCTCCCTCTCCAACATTTGGCTTCTCCACAGGCTTCCCAGGTGGCATGGCATGGAGCTGGCAGCTCTGCCCTTGCCCAGGTGTCCCCAGGTGTCTCTCAGCAGATGTTCCCAGGGAACTGTAACATCTGTGACCCCACAGTGGCACCATGCAGAGCTGGGTGATCTTGAGGGGCTGCCACATGCAGGAAGGGCTTAAGCTCAGTCCAGGGCGAGGGGGCTGGAGCAGCTTCTCCAGCCTCTAGTGCTCCTTGGCAGCCCCAGCTTTAGGCTTGCTGGATACTGAGGCAGGAAAACACCCTGCAAGGAGCAGCCCTGGCTCTGCTCTGACATCCACCACTGCTGCGAGTGAAGCAGAAAAGTGAGGGGCTCAACCCCTTCCCAAACGCTGCTGGTGCTGGGTGGGTGGAGGGGATACAGCTGGTGCCCCAGCCCCACTGCCACGGTCCCTCCTGCTCAACTCTGCCTTCCTCTTCCTCTGCAGAAACCCCTTTGCCAACGTCCAGCTGAAGCCAACGGTGACGAACGACCGCTCTGCTCCGCTCATCAGCTGATCCAGGAGCACCCACCTCCTCGCCTCTGCATGTCTCCCCTTCCAGGACTTAATTTTTTAGGCAGAGTTTATTTAATCCTGCTGCTTTCAAAGCCAAAGGCTAACACTAGTGCCCTACTTCTCTCTTCTCTAGACCCAGCTTACTCCTCTCAGGGTTAACCCCTCTGCCACCTGCCTGTCCTTTGCCCACACAGACCTGTGTGTCCTGTGTGACCTTTTGCTTTTAGGCTTAGCAGCTGCTCACCATGGTTGGGAAAACAGTCCCAGCTGGGCAGCAGCTCTCTAGAGGAGACCTGTGCTTCAGGATGGAGCTGTGATGGCAGAGGGGAGACACTCTCCCTGCTCCCCTCACTCCCCATCCAGAAGGGACCCCTGGGACAGGCAGGATCTCCCATGCACACCAAGGGGTGGTGGGAGCCATAGCCAGCTCCTGCCAGGCCCTGGCTGCCCACCCAGGCTGGGCTGCCAGCAGTGGGGTGCTGGCACTGCAGCCCCCACAGGGATGGGGAGGGTCCCAGAGTCCCACTCCTGCAGTGCCAGGTGTTTGTACATAGTAGGGTGTTATGGTACTGCTGTAAAATATAAGCTAGGAAAAAAAACCCCACTTTTGGAGACAAGGGCTGCATCTAAGTGTGCCTTGGGGTGCGTGGGGCTGTGGAGGGCCCAGTGGTGGAAGGGGCACCCTGTTCCCCTCAGACAAGCTCTTCCATCCACACCTCTTGCTTGGCTGGCTGCTCTTCCTCTATTACTAGGGCTGCATGAGAGAGAGAGAGAGAGATAGATATAGATAATTATACATATATATATATATATATACACACCTGCAAGCCCTCTAAGGTCATTGCACCCTGAGCCTGGGCTGTTCTGCAGCTCTGGCTGCTGCTGCACCCTGAGCTGAGCCAGCACGGCTGTCACAGCCCTGCTACAGAAACAGGGAGACAGGAGTTTTCCAGGCAGGAACCAGGTCTCCCATGGGTGAGCAGTTTTGTGCTGGGCAGAGCAGGGGATCAGCACCCTCGGAGGTTTCGCCTTTTCCATTGTGTTTGTCATTTTGCACTTTTAATCCCTGGTGCCCAGCGGGGGCTTTGCTGAGCCCCAGCCCGTGGGTTTCCACGCAAGCTCTTTCCCAGGTGGATGTGCTGGCTCGTCGCTGCATCGTCCCCTCCCATGGTTTTGGAAAGCAGCTTCTCCTGCCATGACCCGGGCTCTGGCTGGGGTCTCCCATCGATGTGCTGCTGCTGCTTCCTCTCCTGGGACTGGAGCAGATGGATGGGGGGGACAGAGCAAGGGGAAGGGCTCCTCTGGCGTGGAGAGGGCTGGGAGCTCACAGCCTGGGGTGGCGGGCAGGCCTGGGGGTGACCTTGACCACCAGGCCAGCAATGTCCTCTTCCAGCACCCCCCAGGACCCCCAGGCAGCCCCCCTGGGCTGGAGCCAGCCCCTGGGGCTTCGCTGCACCTCCTGGCTTGGTGGTACCTGCAGGATGTAACCTGAAATAATTTTTTATGAGAAAAAGTAATTTATGAGCAATAAAATCTGCCCCCTCCCCACTCCCAGTGTTTTCCTTGGCCAGAGACATCTTCCTGCTCCCGGAGCATCCTTGGTCTCCAGCCCCTGTTCCAGGACAGGTGCCCAGGCAGGAGCTGCCCGCGGGGCCGGGCAATGATCTGGGCAGCAAACAGCTTCAGATATTTTAAAAACTTTATTATTGGCCTGATGATATTTGACACACATGCTGGGAGCTGTATGGAAATCAGCACTGATTAAAAAATACAGCAATTATGACCCGTATTGATAAAATAGACAATGTAATAATAGCCTTTCCGTTAAAAAAATAAAATAAAATAAAAACCCACAACAAAAACACAACAAAACCCAAAAAACAAACCAACCCAAATCTCTCCAAGCCACAGCTCTGGCCTCCTGCTGCCCTCCAGAGGCAGGGACCTGCGGCGCCATAGACCAAACCCGGCTGCTGGGGAGGGGTCGGGGGGAACAAGGG